CGCGCATATGCAATACGCCTAGGTGTGAACGAGACCTTAGGTTCACCTTATATGCATCAAGTATATGAACTGCAGCACATGTGTTATAGAGCCTCATATATGTGAAGAGCAACATTGATTCAGTTACCTGAATATTTGTGCTTAGCTTCTGAAAGATTTCATAAATTTGATCCTTAAACCCACGACTCAACATTTCATCTGCTTCATCTAACACAAACATCTTGATCCATTTGGGAGCTTAAAGAAACCAGAATGAGCAGAGATGAGCTTCTGCTTTACGCAAGTAGCCACTATGAACATGCCTAGCCATTTAAAGTTTAGACTATGTATACCACATCTTCCACACATTTAACAGTCCCCAGGCTTCGTGACATGTTCTATGCAAACAGAGTTGGACAATGCCACCTCATACCATGAAACATGCTTAGTGAACTACTAATGGGCCTCATGTAATGCAAGTGCTGTTAACTTTCAAAGGGTCAAATCAGATGCATTTTTTATGAGCAGTACCTGTCAGAATCTGCTGGGTCACTAACAATTTAATTTTAGTAGATGAGATTCCAGGGATAGCCTCACCTTGCCCCCCTCATTTACAGGTGCATTGTTCTCCATAGAAAGCAAAGAATAGTATGCACTGGCATTGGATCATGCTAGACCCATGTACTGACATTCCAGCACCAAACACTGAAAACCCAAGTTCCCTACTTACAAAGGTAGCGTCGATTCAGCATATCGAACACTCGTCCAGGAGTCCCAACGACTATGTGAGGTGCTTCCGCTTGCAGCTTCTGCATTTCATTACGGACATTTGTACCTCCAATACATGCATGGCATGTTGCTCCCATGTAGTCACCCAAGGCCAAAATAACCTTTTGGATCTGATGGAAGAAGATTACATTTTTAAATTCATAAAGTGATGTGAACTTAATGAGTTTATACTTCAGTAATGCTTTGTTAGATTGCTAAATGCAATGCTGTCCTGACCACATCACTTCTAAATAAAAGACTGCTGCATTATGGATTCAAGTAAAAAAAAAAATACAAAAAAAACAAAAACAAAACAGTAAAGTATATAATAAAGTTCATTTAAGTTGAGCATGCACTTCCCCAAAACATGAACAGTATAAAAAGTCACATGTAGCAAAGTTATTCTAATGCAGAGTTTAGAGGACTAAGTTTTTATGTTACACTAGCAGTATGCAGCCAAAGAGCCATTCAGAAGTGTGTGGGGGGAAAAAAAAAGTCCATGTCTTAAAACTTTCATGCTGCACTCGTACCTTATAATTGTATGCACGCATAACACAGGCTGTTCTTAGCAACTTGCCAAAGGACTGGTCTTAACCATTATGCCCGATATGTAGTAGAGGGGTAATGCTAAGACTTTTACAATAGCCTTTTATGAATGGTGTCTGGTTCTCCATAAAATGAGGCATTTACTGGTTCACATTCTAGCACCATTGTAATGGCATCCTGCACACTCACCACTGAGTCAGTCAGGTCTTCTGATGCCCTAGTTTCTTCCGTTACCTGCATGATCCCATGCACAGTGGCAGCATTGTAGTTGAGAAATGCAAGAAACAGAACACTAATCCGATAGAGGAATGCTTGTAATGTTATGACAACTGCCCGAGGTCGGACAGTTCTCATGGCAATGACTGAGAAGACTTGGGACCTGACCCTGCAAAGTCAAAATTAAAAATCACATGGGTAGCCAGAACTGGGAGGGGGCAGTGAAAACAATTCCGGTTATTGAAGCGTCTCTGCTTGGGACTATTGTCACTAGACAAATTGGGATGCAAGAGAAAAATGTTGGCACCGTCACAGAAGCAGGTGTGGCAAGGGGAAATGGTACACTAGTACACTAATGGTGACTAGCATCTGAGGGGCAGGTACTCCAGGGACTCTCCACACCCAATCTTTTGAGAAGTGAGAGCTCTTCAAGACTCAGACAGAAGAAACCTGACATGGTTCCAAGTATCTCCTACGCTGCAAAACAAATTGCTACCAATATTGTAAATGGCAAATCTAGCCTGCACATTTACTTGAGCCCAATCCAGAGCAGACTTCTGTATAGAAGCAGGTCAGTGAATATGAATATACCAGTCATGTGCTGGACTGTAGACTGGGGATGGTAAAAGGTTTGCAGGACAGGCATTTTTCTAACAATGTGGGACTGTCATTCTATATGGTCAACACCTGCCCACAGTGTAGAAAACACCAGATATCAAAAGTCTGCATCCTGATAGGCTATTGAGGGCTTGATCACATCGTGTGCACCGAGTTGTTGTGTGCACACAAATGTGCAGAAAAATGCAGCTCAGAGGACATGGTGTGAACAAGTCCTAAGGGGGGGAAGGAATTACAGTAATTTAAGGTAGCCTTCGATTATAGATGTTAACAACTATGCTTTCACAGCTCAGAGTTGCTCTGAAACAAATTGGCATTTACAAGAAACTGACTTTCCAAATACCAGCTCCCCAATGTCCATGCACTCACACTGGAAAGCCAGTTTCAGCATCATGGAAGATTAGGTTTAGTGTTGTGCAGGAGGTCACCAGGTCATTGAAGGACATCTTCCGGTTTAAGTGGAATAGTTCTATAATCTTCCCCTGTCAACCCTCAGTGGAAGCTACATTGAAAATGTCTACCATTGCCAGATCTTAACTAGGCAGCCTTAAAGCCTCCTAGTTATATTCAGCTCCTACTGCCCATACATAATGCTCATGTAGCCCAACCATCCAGAGGCATGCAGCTCCAGCCTTAGAATTACTGGGCAAGAGATGTTAGCAGTAGGAGCTAAACACAGGTAGGAGCTAAACACAGGAATTGTTTTTCTTAAGACCTTGGAGCAGGGATGCAGACAAGTACTTGGCTATGGGCACCTGATTGAATGGGCAATATGTTCAGGCAACATGACAACTACGGTATATTGGGGAGAGGGGATTTAAAGTATTCAACATTGTCACCACAACAGGAAGAGAGTGGAAATCTTCCAAAGAGGACACTAGTTCCTGTGTACCATCCAAGAGGGGAATTTAGCAAAACAGATTCCTTCTCAGTTTAAGTCGTCTACAGGAAAGTGTCTTTTGTTTTTAAATGGGAACACAGATGGCATTAGGGTCTGATGAGTTTTAAAAACGTTCCCTTCTCTATCCAAAATGAAGCGTTAACTTAAGCAAGGGTGGACACGTTTATATGGGAGTTTGAGTGTCCATTCCAGGCATCAACAGCATTTTTGGAGCCAGCTCCTCTGACTAGAAAAGAATCTCAGGTTAGGTGCAAGCCATCATTTAAGGGGCAATGGTTACCTTGCTCTTGGATTTGTCCAGTCATCCATCCCTGCCTTAAATACTTTGAAGAGCAAATTTTACTAAAAAGGTTACCAGCTATCCACGTTCAACTCCAATCCTGCACAACTCAAAGGGTCATTTACTTGTGGAAAAGCCAGACTGGTTCAATTTATGAAAGGCCAAAGGTTTATAGTAAAGGGATGGGGGAATTTGTTGGTCCTTTTTCAGGTTAATTTGTCAAAGGCATAAATCCCATGCTCAGCAGTTACATGAGCCTATGGCATAGATGTTTACAATGTCAGAATTGCCAAGCGTTCTGACAGTTTGTTCCACTAAGGGCCCCATTCACTCCAACGCAGAACACTGCCACAGCAAACAAATAGCAATTATTACCAATTTTATTGTACTCCAGAGATTTGATAATGTATACTGAGCACTTCACATACTGTTCTTTGAAGCATTGTGGGCACGTCTACACTTGTGTAAAAGAACCAATACTAAAGGGTGGTTTTACCATTGTACCAGTCTTAGTTACACTCTAGAAAAATCTACCCGATGAGCCAGCAATTTCCAGCTAGCTTCTGTAATAAACCAGGGCTCATGAAGTTGACAAGATGAAGGAATCATGCTTTTGCCAGAAAATGCCTGAATTATTGAATGCACAAGTGAAGCACGAAAATCATATGTGCTTTAAAAAGCAGTCAGCTCAGGTTGTAAGCTTGTGAACATGAAATAAAGCATTTAACATTGTGACATGCATGCCAGCAGTAGCGGCAGAGATTGTGTACTGCAGTTTTCAGATTGCACAGCTGCCTAGTCAAAATATTGCACATCCTTAACTACACATTAAAAAGGCAATAAGCAAGTCTGCATAACTGTTGGATTAAGGTGCTTTAGTAAGCCATCGTTTTTTTTTTACAGTTGTGCAAACTGAAAATTGCACAGTACGCACATTTTGTAACTACCCTCTCAATACCTGTTGAGCCAGTTCTCTTGTTGGAGCCAATACTAGAGCTTGGGTCTCCTTGAGATCAATCTCCAGCTGCTGCAGGATGGAAATAGCAAATGTGGCTGTCTTGCCAGTACCTGACTGAGCTTGGGCAATCACATCATACCCTAAAAAAAGTAGGATACACATTTACTGTTCCCACATTTTGCTTGGGTATGTGAACCAAGACAATTAAAACAAGTGATCAGAAACAATGTTCTCTCCATTTCAGGTCAGTCCCGAAAGATGGTTACCATCATTTCACTTGAAAACATTTAACAAAAACATTTGACTATGAATTTAATGCTATATAGCCCAGCTAATGATAATTTGAACACATGAAGTCACACCAACCTTTAATGCAGGGAATGATTGCCCTTTGTTGGATAGCAGAAGGTTTTTCAAAACCATAAGCATAGATTCCTCTCAGAAGAGTTTCTTTTAGATTCATGTCATCAAAATTGTCAACAATCTCATTCCAGTTACTCTGCGAGGAAGAGAAAAGCTTATATATCCTGTACGCCAAGAATAAAACTAAGGTGAACTACTCAAAGTTATACCAACCTCAATGACACCATCGGGGTCCATTCCCTCTGGGCCGCCATGGTCTCTACAGCAAGAGAAATGACATTTAGTTAATATTTGCAGTAGTAGGATCTTACGCTTCAACATTTTACATCAACAAGTGATCAGCAGAGTATATTTTCTCCATTCAAGGTCAGTCCCGAAAGATGGTTACCATCATGTCACTTGTCCATTTGTGTTGGGATAATAAAACTAGCTCAAGTCTTATTAGCCAAAATATAAAGGATTGTAGTATTCTAGATTGAATGTTGGGCAGCACATCACCCAGATACCGGGTCACTACAGGCTACACCCATCGTTCCTACAGTTTATATACATTTGGAACACTACTGATGAATGGCTGGTTTATGGTTTTACAAAAGAAAAAGCAGTTTCTCCTTAACTGGTACATGCAAGTCACCACGTGCAATAAAAAAGCCCAGGGCTGTACATTCCAAACAGGCCCAAGAGCAATACGGCATGTTTAATCTACTACAAAAGTGTTACTTGGAAAACAAAATGGACAATCTCTCTTGCCTCGTGTTTTGAGAGATCCCACAGCTCCGCCCCCTAAGCCCTTGCACTGCCATTTTCTACATAATTTACCAAGTCTTGGACCAACCCACTGATGCCCAACGGTCATGAATGCAGGAGGTATACACAAGTTTGAGACAGAATTACAGAGATCTTGCAGGATTTTCATTAATTCACAGAACCATGAGATTTGGATAGTCAGGTATAATAACCTATGAAAGTTCTTACAAGGTCCACCTATCAGCTTTGAGAGCTTCCTGAAAGGCAATGGTGACTTCCACTTCCCAAAAGGCCATGCAGGCAGTCACCAGGGCCTACAAAATCAGCAGAAAGGCCATTAAAAATAAGGGTATTTTGCAGCTAACTGCAACAATTTCAGATGAACACTTTCCTGAATGTGTCCGACTACTAAATCCATGGTTTGTCAATGATACGCCAGTTAAAACTGCACTTTTAGAGCTCAACAACAGGTACAAGTTATTTTATATACTTGCACAGGTCCAGCTTGGCCCACTGCAAGTATGCATACGCCATACCTGATCAGCTGCTGGGGATCCTGTAATGCACTGTAGAAGCTGGACCTACCTGCCTGTTATCTTCCATACACTAGTGTTGTGCAGCTACCCCTCTGCTCTGAAAGTGTGGCACAGCTGCCATTCGGACAATTCCTATGCTTGTCAATTAATACAGGAAGTTTGCTGATTGGATGCAGGGCAGATTGTAGCATCATCACTTCTCATCCAAACAGAGAAGGCCTTGTACTATAGGCATAGAAAATACTAGGCACTCAACCTGTGCTTTCAGTGCAGATTTAAAAAGCTACTCTGCAGCAGAATTATTGCTGTAAAGCAACATGGATGGCGCTACTACAGTGCTGTACAGGATCCACAGCAGTCATCAGGTGTGGCCAATACATACTTAAATAGGGCCCCGCTGGACCAAGACAAAAATGCAAAATAAGCCATACATGGAGTTCAGCTCTAAACACTAATCACCCTATAACTATCCCAATTAAACAAACTACTGACCTCAGACCAAGTCTTATCCCCGCTATGCTACACAGCCTCATAGCACTTACTACACAAGCACCATCCACAGGGTAACAACCTGCCTAGCCATCTGTGGCTGGTGACTGCACAGCATTGCTCAGGTGCTGAGCTAGGAACACTCCATCTGAGGTCAGTGCTTGTTTAAACTACACACACACCTAGCTGGTTGGGATAAGCATTGCAATAGAAGGAAACTACGATTTGCCCAAAGCAGCCAGAATGCTGAGGTACCACAGTAATGGTACACATCGCAAAGCATGCCGTTTGCTGCCAAGAATGGGTACGCGTTTCCAACGATGAAATGCTCGGCAGTTCTAAGATCTGATCCTATTACAATGCAACACTAACTAGTGACTACAGCACATGAATGGTAAGTCCCTCCTGTGCAGCACTGTGAGGATTCATGGCCAGAAAAAGCAGAGTATAAACAGACTAAATGTCCCAGATCACTTTCCTCTACATTAGCATGTCGCTGGAACCTATTGTTCACACGTGTTTACAGTAGATCTGCCTTGCAGATGCATTTTAGAATATGATGCACCGCTATCATCACCTCCGAGTGTACACCTTTGCTCGAAATCATTTCATCAGTTTGTTCTTCTACACATTACTATCGAGGAATACAAGTCTGACTATTTAACCCCCTGCACATTCTAGCTGGCCATGTCACCTTGGCTGCTCCCCCTTCCTAGACACACACAGGAGGCCCCCGTCATCCGTGGTAACAGGATCCAGCACGCCACCACAATTAGAGATGAGCCCCCTACACCGCAGAACAGGCGCACCACCCTCCCTCGCCGCCATGTTGTGCCAAAAGCATCTCATTCACCCCCACCCTGCGGCGCTGACAACTTCATCCCACGTCTGCTCCCCCGAACTCTCGGTGATCGGGCGGCTACCTGATAAATCCCAAGTCCCTATAACCGTGATATCACACGATGCTCTGCTGCACCAGGCCACTGCCACACGGCTCACGTAGCAGGCAGACAGTATTATTCTACGTATAGGCGTGGGATACCAGAGGCCCTCTCTCTGCACGAGGACCACAAGTCCCACCGCTGCATGGCCACTAGTAACAGTGTGTCCTCAGGTGCTATACCCCACTCCCTATTCGTCCGGCCCTAGCCACTTCTGAGGACAAGCCGGTATAATAACACTAAGCCATCAACGACTAGCCGCCGCCCCCCCGTCTAGCTAACCATAGCTGTAGGTTATCCCAGCGGCCATGAAGAAATACCTGGAATAATCCGCAGAACCTCCAGACATGTTCCACACCACGTCTCGGAGCTCAACCGAAAAGGAATAGTTATGGTGGCGCCCGCCATTTATAGCCCTGGAACTACATTCCTGAACGGCGCAAGGATACCAAAGCGATAATGGGAAACCTTTTCTATTATCGCCGGACGTCGGCCTAAATTACCAAACTCAGCCGAGTATTACTGCCGAGACAATTAAAAAGCGAATCTTCCGTTTGTTCCTAAAACTAGTCTTTCTGAATGAAAGAGGCACTAATTTATCATGACGATTTCCTCACTGGCGGAATGATATTGCAGCAAATGGTGAGTGGGTTATAGGTCTCTGTTCTGTACGGGGTTTCTTACCCCGGCCCTTGCTCCTGGTGTTTGGGAAACCACGCCTTGCTTGCGGCCGGGACTCTGACTGACGTGAGTGACGGTGACGTCATGCACAAGTTAGCCCAGCGCGAGCTGATTGCACGAGAACGGCGCCGGAAAGTTCTAATGTTTGTTTTCTGGGAGTTAGTTCGGTAGTGTTCGTTGTTGGTCAAAGCTCAAGTGCAGGCAAAGATATAAATACGACGCTAAACTACACATAGAAGACCTGTTGTCTGCCGAAAGATTGGAATTTCTGTACATCCAGTCCTCAAATTATGGGTGCGTCCCCGCCAGGTGCTTCGAGCGGCCTTGATTCGCTGGCTCAATGCATGCTCAACGGAAGGACAGTGAGAGAACAATGGTTCTCTATGTGGCCTGTTCACACTATACAAATGCGTTGGTTTGCGTTGCATAAATTGCAGACACACAGCATTGCGCACCAGCACGCATGCACTGTATGCATGATATGCAAGTCTGCTGCAGTCAATGCACCATTACTCAGCTCTGGCAGATGGCAAGGCATGACTTTTCTTTACTGCAGTTAAAGCAGTGGTTAACACACTTTTTTGGGCAAGTCCCCCTTTGGAAGCCGTAGAACCACCTGGCCCTTATATTTTTTATAACCTGAAAATTAGTACCTCACATCTCTACCCCTTGTCCACAGCCCACCTCTCTACCCCCTGTCCAAGACTCCACAGCTCACCTGCACCCCTTGTCCACAGCTCACCTCTGCACCCCTTGTCCACAGCTCACCTCTGCACCCCTTGTCCACAGCTCACCTCTGCACCCCTTGTCCACAGCTCAACTCTCTACCCCTTGTCCACAGCCCACCTCTGCACCCCTTGTCCACAGGTCACCTCTCCACCCCTTGTCCAAAGCTCACCTCTGAGCCCCTTCTCCACAGCTCACCTCTGCACCCCTTGTCCACAGCTCACCTCTCTCCCCCTTGTCCACAGCCCCCCTCTGCCCCCCTTGTCCACAGCTCACCTCTCTCCCCCTTGTCCACAGCCCCCCTCTGCCCCCCTTGTCCACAGCTCACCTCTCTCCCCCTTGTCCACAGCCCCCCTCTGCCCCCCTTGTCCACAGCTCACCTCTCTCCCCCTTGTCCACAGCCCCCCTCTGCCCCCCTTGTCCACAGCTCACCTCTCTCCCCCTTGTCCACAGCCCCCCTCTGCCCCCCTTGTCCACAGCTCACCTCTCTCCCCCTTGTCCACAGCCCCCCTCTGCCCCCCTTGTCCACAGCTCACCTCTCTCCCCCTTGTCCACAGCCCCCCTCTGCCCCCCTTGTCCACAGCTCACCTCTCTCCCCCTTGTCCACAGCCCCCCTCTGCCCCCCTTGTCCACAGCTCACCTCTCTCCCCCTTGTCCACAGCCCCCCTCTGCCCCCCTTGTCCACAGCTCACCTCTCTCCCCCTTGTCCACAGCCCCCCTCTGCCCCCCTTGTCCACAGCTCACCTCTCTCCCCCTTGTCCACAGCCCCCCTCTGCCCCCCTTGTCCACAGCTCACCTCTCTCCCCCTTGTCCACAGCCCCCCTCTGCCCCCCTTGTCCACAGCTCACCTCTCTCCCCCTTGTCCACAGCCCCCCTCTGCCCCCCTTGTCCACAGCTCACCTCTCTCCCCCTTGTCCACAGCCCCCCTCTGCCCCCCTTGTCCACAGCTCACCTCTCCACCCCTTGTCCACAGCTCACCTCCCAACCCTTTTTCCACAGCTCACATCTCCTCCCCCGTTTGTCCACAGCTCACCTCTGCACCCCTTGTCCACACCTCACCTCTCCACCCCTTGTCCACAGTTTACCTCTCCCCCCCATGTCCACAGCTCACCTCTGCACACCTTGTCCACAGCTCACCTCTGCACCCCATGTCCACAGCTTAACTCTCCACCCCATGTCCACAGCTCACCTGTGCACCCCTTGTACACAGCTCACCTCTGCACCCCATGTCCACAGCTCACCTCCCCACCCCTTTTCCACAGCTCACCTCTCCAACCCTTGTCCACAGCTCACCTCTCCACCCCTTTGTCCACAGCTCACCTCTGCACCCCTTGCCCACAGCTCACTTCTGCTCCCTTTGTCCGCAGTTCACCTCTGCACCCCTTGTCCGCAGTACAGCTCTCCACCCCTTGTCCGCAGCTCACCTCTGCCCCCTTTGTCCACAGCTCACCTCTGCCCCCCTTGTCCACAGCCCACATCTGCACCCCTTTGTCCACAGCTCACCTCTGCACCCCTTGTCCACAGCTCACCTCTCCACCCCTTGTCCACAGCTCACCTCTCCACCCCTTGTCCACAGCTCACCTCTCCACCCCTTGTCCACAGCTCACCTCTCCACCCCTTGTCCACAGCTCACCTCTCCACCCCTTGTCCACAGCTCACCTCTCCACCCCTTGTCCACAGCTCACCTCTCCACCCCTTGTCCACAGCTCACCTCTCCACCCCTTGTCCACAGCTCACCTCTCCACCCCTTGTCCACAGCTCACCTCTCCACCCCTTGTCCACAGCTCACCTCTCCACCCCTTGTCCACAGCTCACCTCTCCACCCCTTGTCCACAGCTCACCTCTCCACCCCTTGTCCACAGCTCACCTCTCCACCCCTTGTCCACAGCTCACCTCTCCACCCCTTGTCCACAGCTCACCTCTCCACCCCTTGTCCACAGCTCACCTCTCCACCCCTTGTCCACAGCTCACCTCTCCACCCCTTGTCCACAGCTCACCTCTCCACCCCTTGTCCACAGCTCACCTCTCCACCCCTTGTCCACAGCTCACCTCTCCACCCCTTGTCCACAGCTCACCTCTCCACCCCTTGTCCACAGCTCACCTCTCCACCCCTTGTCCACAGCTCACCTCTCCACCCCTTGTCCACAGCTCACCTCTCCACCCCTTGTCCACAGCTCACCTCTCCACCCCTTGTCCACAGCTCACCTCTCCACCCCTTGTCCACAGCTCACCTCTCCACCCCTTGTCCACAGCTCACCTCTCCACCCCTTGTCCACAGCTCACCTCTCCACCCCTTGTCCACAGCTCACCTCTCCACCCCTTGTCCACAGCTCACCTCTCCACCCCTTGTCCACAGCTCACCTCTCCACCCCTTGTCCACAGCTCACCTCTCCACCCCTTGTCCACAGCTCACCTCTCCACCCCTTGTCCACAGCTCACCTCTCCACCCCTTGTCCACAGCTCACCTCTCCACCCCTTGTCCACAGCTCACCTCTCCACCCCTTGTCCACAGCTCACCTCTCCACCCCTTGTCCACAGCTCACCTCTCCACCCCTTGTCCACAGCTCACCTCTCCACCCCTTGTCCACAGCTCACCTCTCCACCCCTTGTCCACAGCTCACCTCTGCACCCCTTTGTCCACAGCTCACCTCTGCACCCCTTGCCCACAGCTCACTTCTGCTCCCTTTGTCCGCAGTTCACCTCTGCACCCCTTGTCCGCAGTACAGCTCTCCACCCCTTGTCCGCAGCTCACCTCTGCCCCCTTTGTCCACAGCTCACCTCTGCCCCCCTTGTCCACAGCCCACATCTGCACCCCTTTGTCCACAGCTCACCTCTGCACCCCATGTCCACAGCTCACCTCTCCACCCCATGTCCACAGCTCACCTCTGCACCCCATGTCCACAGCTCACCTCTGCACCCCATGTCCACAGCTCACCTCTGCACCCCTTGTCCACAGCTCACCTCTGCACCCCTTGTCCACAGCTCACCTCTGCACCCCTTGTCCACAGCTCACCTCTGCACCCCTTGTCCACAGCTCACCTCTGCACCCCTTGTCCACAGCTCACCTCTGCACCCCATGTCCACAGCTCACCTCTGCACCCCTTGTCCACAGCTCACCTCTGCACCCCATGTCCACAGCTCACCTCTGCACCCCTTGTCCACAGCTCACCTCTGCACCCCTTGTCCACAGCTCACCTCTGCACCCCTTGTCCACAGCTCACCTCTGCACCCCTTGTCCACAGCTCACCTCTGCACCCCTTGTCCACAGCTCACCTCTCCACCCCATGTCCACAGCTCACCTCTGCACCCCTTGTCCACAGCTCACCTCTGCACCCCATGTCCACAGCTCACCTCTGCACCCCTTGTCCACAGCTCACCTCTGCACCCCATGTCCACAGCTCACCTCTGCACCCCTTGTCCACAGCTCACCGCTGCACCCCATGTCCACAGCTCACCTCTGCACCCCTTGTCCACAGCTCACCTCTCCCCCCCTTGTCCACAGCTCACCTCTGCACCCCTTGTCCACAGCTCACATCTCAACCCCTTTGTCCACAGCTCACCTCTGCCCCCTTTGTCCACAGTTCACCGCTGCACCCCATGTCCACAGCTCACCTCTGTACCCCATGTCCACAGCTCACCTCTGCACCCCTTGTCCACAGCTCACCTCTGCACCCCTTGTCCACAGCTCACCTCTCCACCCCATGTCCACAGCTGACCTCTGCACCCCTTGTCCACAGCTCACCTCTGCACCCCATGTCCACAGCTCACCTCTCCACCCCTTGTCCACAGCTCACCTCTCCAACCTTTGTCCACAGCTCACTTCTGCACCCCATGTCCACAACTCACTTCTGCACCCCATGTCCACAGCTCACCTCTCCACCCCTTGTCCACAGCTCCCCTCTGCACCCCTTGTCCAACCTCTCTTCTACAGATCACCTCGTCACCCCCTGCACATTTCTTCTACAGATCACCTCTGCACCCCCTGCACATTTCTTGTACAGATCACCTGTGTACCCCTTGCACCTCGCTTCCATAGATTACCTTTGCACTGGTTGCAATATTGCACCTCTCTTACACACATTACCTCGCACCATTACACCTTTTAAAAAAAAAATCATCTCTGCACTGCCTGCACCATTGCAAGGTGTGACAATTACACACACCTTAACCTGCACAGAGATTTTCCAGTTTGTGGGACAGACAACAGTCCAAAGTTAACCAGACAAGCTACAATCTAAATTTACAATCTGTATTAGACCTACCACCAACTATGTAGTGCAAGGCCTGCCTAATTGGATATAAATTGATTGGTTAGATGAGGTAGGTCCTCATATTTCATAGTTTATATAAATCTAAAATTAATTCTACAAATTATTGTACATAGTCAGATTGTAATGTGTAGTGACCCTAAGTGTTAGTGGACTAAGAGTAATCAGTGAAATATATTTATCACTCGCTGCCACACCTAAACAGGAAAGTAACCTTATGGTTGACCTTTTACAGAGGCAACGTTCTTTAATTTCTAGTTAGAGCATTCAGATATTGAGCATAAGGGCTCATCTATATGGGTGTAACAAACCCTGTGTTCAGGATTTTAATCCTGCATGGAGTAGTGCAGCAAAGAAGAGACAAACTAAGGAATGCACCCCTGGATTGCAGGTGCCAAATAAGGTAAGTTAGTGGGAGTTGAGGGGGGGCAGACTCTTTTCTTACCCTCGGCCACCTTGTACTATGTAGACTATGCCTTTAACCCATTTGTTGCTATGACCAGCCTAACATTTTTCACCTTTAACCAACCCACTGTCGGGTCCAGCCTCACATTTTTCACTTCAGGGGGCCTGACCATGTTTGCTATTTCGTACTTTAGAAAATAAAAGGTGCTACTGATTTTGTATGTACCATGATAGTTGAACAAATGTTTATCAAAACTATATCTTCAGTAAAAGTATACCAAAATCATTATTGGCGCACACAAATACAATATAACTTCTATAATTCCTACTAAATTTATGAGATACAACTGTATTAATGGTAATAAATAACAAATGTTTATACATTTTAAATTGTGCCTTTTTGCGAAATGGTGAAAATGTGAGGTTATAGGACCACATATGGATTGAATTTTGCCAATGTGGCCAAAATTTGCTCTGTGTGTATTAGGGATGCACCGATACCAGTTTTTCGGTATTGAGTACCGATATTCATATTTCGGTACTCCCCGATACCGAGTACCAATGCTGGTACTTCCGCTAGCATGGAGCCGGCTTCCCGGGCAATCAGGGAGGCAGGCGGTATGTCATTACCCATCACCTGGCTTCTTGATTGCCCAGGAAGCCGACTCCATGCTATTTGGCCGGCTCGATGCTGGTTGGCCAGGGAAGCCGGCTTCCCAGCCAATCAGCATCGAGTCGGCCAAACAGACCTGATAATAAGGTAACACAACCTCCACCCTGCAGACACCCCATTCTCCTCATGCCCCATTCTCCCCATATCTATCCTCAGGAGTAATTACTGTACCACAGATGTCCCTTGGCCAGCTGGGCAGACACCGCTCTCCAAGCCGCTTTAACTCTCCCGGATCTGCCCACGTCTCAGTCTTTCGAGATGTACAACTGCCGCCTGACTCCGGTGTGTATACAGCACCCACACTGCCTGCATGAACGTTCCTTAGGCTGCTACTGTGCATACGCATCCTGCCCAGCGCTCTCAAAAATCCCCTAACAGGATATTTATTATACCACCGATCACGAAGGCAGTGCAAGTTCTGTACACACACTGGAGTTAGGCGGCGGTAAAGCGGCTTGGAGAGCAGTGTCTGGCTGAGGGACATCTGTGGTACGGTGATGACTGCTGCTGATGATCAATATAAGTGTGATGTGAGGGGAATGAGGTGTCTGCAGGGTGGAGGTTGTGTCACCATATTATCAGATCTGCTTGGCTGGCTCAATGCTGATTGGCTAGGAAGCCAGCTTCCCAGCCGGCCAAACAGCATGGAGCCGGCTTCCCAGCTCCATGTTCCCTCGCGGCACTGCCAGTCAGAAGAAATCTCCCTCTGACCAGAAGTTCCTGTATCGTGGAAAGTATTGGAGCATTTGGGCAAGTATGAGTACTTGCCCAAGTACTCGGTATCGGCACCGATACTAGTATGGGTATTAGTGCATCCCTAGTGTGTACCCAGCTTAAAAGAAAACTATAGGCAAAACTTTTTTTGGCTATAGTTTACTTTTGTGTCACAGGAGTACATTTAACAATGTACTTCTGTGACCCAAACTTAGCATGTAGTGGGCTACTGCCAGAGCCAGCTGTGCATGCCCCCTCCCCTGCCTGTCCCTCCAATAAGCTCTGGAGGAACAGAGAGGGGAGGGGGGAATCCCTGTGGGTAGTGATGACTGACAGTCACTGCTCTCTGCAGGGAGAACCCGTGAGCTGACCAATCAGCAGATTGTGAACTCAAATTAAGATTTCGTAAAGTAGTCACTGACAACTCCAGTAGACTTCTCCGTTTTTTTAATGGTCCAGTGTCATCTTCTCAGAACTGAATATTGTGCTTATTTATTTAAATATCCTTTGGATTTCAATATTGGGTAGATTTAAAGTACACTTTGGATTTTGTTTCCAGCAGCAAATAAACATGGATTTGAAATGACAGTATCATCACAACATATTCCTAGTTTTTATTGTGTTGGATTAGAGAACCTTCTTAAAAATGTAATACATCAGCATCTACAGGTCAGGATTGTTTTAAATGTTTAGACTGAACAACATCGCCTCTCAGCTTCTTTACTGTTGCAGACTTGTTATGAATTATAGTAACAGGTCTTCATCATCGAAGAATGGAATTTGTTTTGGGGTGTAAGGTTTACTCGGTTCTTCTTCTTTTTCTGGCAAAGGCTTAAAATCAGCAGCAGCAAATGCAAGATCATCATCGGTGAATGTTTTGACTGTTGTAGTCAAGCTTCTTGGTTGCCAAAGCTTGCCAGGACATTTTGGAACATATGGAAGCTCTAGATTTGATTTTTCTTCAATATCTTTTGGGACTGCCTCTTTGCTTGGTACAGTAGGTTGAGCACTGGGCAAATCCAGAACCTGGTGTGAATCTTCTTTCATATTCACATTAATTCCTCTTTCATCCACCTCCTCTGAAGACTCATCTTCATCATCATGTTTGTGCTTTCTTTTTTTGTCTGATTTTCCCTTTTGTTCTTGTTTGCGTCCCTTGTGCTGGCCTTTATTCTTACCTTTGGTGTGCTGTTGCAGATTTGTTTCAGCTTGGTCAGGTTTTTTGCTCATACGTAGAGGAGATAGGCCACTTAGGCGCATTATTAACTGCAACACAATTATATCAGAATGTGATGTATACAATTTTGCAATTTACTAATAATGAAAATTAACTTTCTAATTAAATTTGCAGGCAAATTGGTTTTCTAAAACTGGCAAAAAAGAAAAAGAAAAACAAATATAGCTTCCTGTTGACATTGCAACAATGATGGTGTTCTGTAACCTGTTTTTCTGTTTTTGCAAAGAAGTGTGACAGAAATGTAATGATCATGTAATTGGCTGACTTTTTAACAGTAGCCTCTCCGGCATTACAGTGCTGGAAGGAACACATTTGATTTTAGCAGGCAAATCTTCCCACTCAGTAAATAATAGAAGGTAGGACTCTGCAATTAATTTTGCTAATATTTTTTCAACGCATATAACTAAGAAGGAAAATATTTTTTTTTGGTGCAGCAAAAGCAGAAATGCACTTAAAGTATATCTAAACCCCCAAAAATCGGTGGCTGCATTGGTTTCCTTTTTCTATTTTTTTTTGATAATTTGAATGTGCGTCAATAAAAATACATGTTAGTATCACGATTGAGGTGCCAGTGACATCCTTTTTCTTCAGTATTCACTAATGGGGCGCCAATTACTTCTCAATGCAGTACCCACTGCGGATTATATTGGGATTCTGCGGTCAGGAGTGCGATGGGATGCGTGACATAGGGTGACAATTCAAGCGCACTGTACTGTATCTGTAGAGAAGCAACGTAGTCACACTAGCCAGCTCCCTCCTGATTTGGACCACAGAACACCTCCCCCTCTTCTCATCTCCATAACATAGGATGAAATAGTTCTGTAGTTCACAGAGGTGAACTGAACAGGGCTGATAACACAACTCAGGATTTCATTGCAGCACAGGAAAATGCACAAGGAGTTAAAGTGACACTAAATTCAGGCGCTAAACCTTAAAAATGCATTTAAGTACCATAACTATTAACAAACATGTAGTTTAGTTGTGCATCACTGAGCTGTAGATCCTCAAATCATCTTTGAACCTGTGCTGACACTGTCCTTCCTTCTGGAGGGTGGCTACTTTTGTTCCCCATGGTCCCTGTGTGTGTTGGAAAGTAGTCACAGCTCCAAGCTCGCTCCCGTGATGGACTACAATCTCAATACAAATTAGTAAACTAAATGTGAGATTGTAGTCCATCACAGGAGTGAGCTTGGAGTGGTGACTACTGTACAACACACAAAGGGACCATGGGCAAGAAAAGTAGCCACCCTCCAGAAGAAAGGATAGTGTCAGCACCAATTCAGAAATTATTTGAGGATCTACAGCCGAGTGATCCATACAAAAGTTACATTTTTGTTAATAATTAAGGTGCTTGAATGCATTTTTTAAGATTTAAAGCCCACTGAAATTCTCGCTGGATTGATAAGTATTTTTTCTTATGGAAAAGATATAACAAAATACTTTCAATGATTTATTTGTCAGACTAAAAGAGAGGCAATGGGGGAAATTCATGGTTAGAAACATTCCCTTTAGGGCTTGTTCACACCGAAAGCGTGTGCGTTCCAGAGCGGTAGCTGCATGTGGCCTGGTTTGGTGTAGGAGGGGGTGCACAATCACCCCCCCTTTTCCTGTTCTGCCAGGCCGCTGCTTGGATCAAGGGTCTTTTGGGGACACAGAACTTTAGCAAACGAAATACTGACTAGTCTTTTTCAATGCAAGAGATGCAATATTTCTATTTCTATTTGCTTTTTATATTCCACACTACCAACTTTCAGCTGTAAAAGAAAACCACCTACCGCTTGTTGTTCTACACATACAGGACCTGAATGAACATTAATCCTCTTGTCTGTAACCTTAATTGTGGTATCACAGGATAGTGGAGACTAAAAGAAACAAGGAAATGGGAGATGTTTAATTTTATCTTGATACACCAACTCCACCGAGTCCTATCATTAATATGTCCTGGCTGTAAGGTTGTAACAAAAAAGTCCCCCATTATCTATTCTACCTTACCAAGAATCCTAACACCAGTTGAGAAAATGAGAAACTGAAAGTGATCTGAGCTGCATCACATCTTTATATTCTAGTTTGTATTTGCTCTTTCCACGTGAACTCAGAAAATGTCTAATTCAAATAAAGCATCTGAAAAAGTCATATATATTTCATGTTTGTTTCAATTTAAATTTTTTCTAGGCAGGCTTTCCTAATGCAAATTGGCACTGAAATAACTCTTTTCTGTCCTGGATCTGAAAAGCACAGCTTTTATTAAAATTGTTTTGCTTGCTAAATACTAATATGCCCAAGCATTTGTACAAGAACTTACTTACTGCATTTTCTAAATTGTTACATTCGTCTCCCAGTATGGTGTGGTCAGGTTTGGAGCATACGGTTGGCATCATAGAAAACAACACTTCATATATCTGTTCTTGAAACCCCTACAATGTAAATGTGCAAATGTAAGAAGGTAATTAGTGCAGTGAGGTAACCAGATTAGTGCATTTGTAACAAAAAATAATATCACCAGTACTATAGACACTGTTACATGGTGGGGGGTAGGGGGTGGTATATCTTGGCCCTGGAGCTCCAGCAGCTAATAAAAAGGGTTTACAGAAACAGTTCAGCTTTAACAATGTAAATTAACTACTGTACATGCATAGACTGGTTGAATTTCAACAGAGTCCTGCTGACTCGGCGGAAATTTGACCATTGTGTGGCCCCTTCAGAATACCCCCCCCCCCCGACCCCCATTTTGACTTTTGTCATAGGAGGCAATCTGAAATATTCGGCCCAAACAGGGACTTCAGGCAATCAATCGCAATCACTGGCATACTGTTAGTGTGGATGGTGAAATCAAGTGTTTTTTTTCTAAGTGTATGGCTGGCTTTCTTTAGATCATTTTTCTAAAGCACAGAATTTCTCTAATCAAAATCATCACAATAGTTTAAGAGTTTTAACAAACAATAAATCTTACAACAACGATAACACAGGTGCACATGTTAAGGGATACTTAGGATAAAGTAGTGCATGCATAGGAGAATTGGCAATGGGGAACTAGCATTTTCAGAAAGTAGGCTCAGAAATGGTCTGGCAACAGGGTCTCTAACACAGTGAGGGAAGCCATAAAGGAGTTATTTGCATGGCTGCACACACTATACCAAATTAAGTTTTTGGATTTGTGTAGGAAATGATCATGTGTAAAGCTGGCCATACACTGTTCTGTTGTTTTATACCCAAAAATAGCCGGCAGCTCATTGGCTGGTGGCTCTGTTTGTTCAAAGATTTTCTTCGATAAGCTGAAAGGGTACAGACAGTGGGACCCACTGTAAGAATCTTGGCTAGTTTCTGAAGTTATAATAATGTATGGCCAGCTTTAGGGTTGGCTGTTTTGAAAAGGCATGATGTACAAGATATCAATTGCAGAAAATTGGTAAGGATGGAAACCTACACAAGGGCATATAAAATAAAGTAGAACTGAAGCCAAAACTTATTTTTTTAAATGTAGAAATAAAGTAAGCATGGGTTTTAACCCATCAGCTTTTTTTTTTTTTCATCTGTGTCCCATTGGGGAAATTTGCCTTCACTTCCTGCCCAATAGGCACAACAGGAAGTAAGAGGAGATCCCTCCAAAGAAAGGGAAATCCCCGGTGGTCAGCAGGGTCACCAGATCTAGTGTACCCACTGGAAGATTTCCTATCTATTCTTGTTCTGTTGGCAACCCGAGATTTAGTATTTTCTTTCACTTTCAGTGATGATGGTCACTGAGAGAGAGGTGAATCTCCCTAATAAGGACACAGACAACAGTAAAAAAAAAACTGCCAGGGCTTCTAACCCCTGGCCACTTTATCCAAAACTCTACAAAAAAGCTTTGGCTTTAGTTCTACTTTAACAAAAGTAATTTTTTTGTTTTCTGTGTTCTGTTAGAATAATTTCCGGGTATTCAGATTCTGCTCCACAACCAACATAAGTGTTGGGTTCAGTTGTATCAAAGAAAATAACCTCTTATTGCTTGCACTGTATTAAAGAAGAACTATGAGGTGAGTGATTTTCACTCAACCTCACAGTTCGAGTCGACATGTGACAATGAGACTGTCACACATCAGCTCAATAGATCGGGAAGTGAACGAACACATTCTCGATCATGTCCCTGCAGAGAGCGGTGATTGTCACTCACGGCTCCCTGCAGGGATTCCCCCCTCTCCGATCCTCCAGCGCTGACTGGCGGAAGGGACGGGGGAGGGGGCGGGTACAGCTGACTCTGCCTCTAGATAGGCAGAGCCAGCTGTCACTCACGCAGCTGGGTGGATCTCGACTGTAATGCCGGGATCCGTCCCGGCTGCGGCGGTCTCAGTATATCGCCAGCTGTAGCTCGCGGGATACTGAGCTTTGGGTCACGGGAGGACACTAGTTTATGTCCTCCCGTTTCCCTTAGGAGAACTATGGGAAAAACACTTACCCCATAGTTCTCTTTTAAGTAACAGAATAACTTTACATGGTCTCGGGATTGCTGCATAAAGACTTCAAGATACAGAGATCCTGAGACCAACTTCCTCTATTAGCTCCTTTACACTGTGATAATAGTAAGCAAAACTTTCTATTCTGAACTATTGTTGGTTATTGAAGACTGGACAGTCACTTTAGAGTGTTATAGCTGGATTCGGCATTGTGTGACCCTAATGAGGGTGGACGTGTCCAACTTCCAGCTCTTTGATAAATCAATTCCTCTTGGGCACAGGTATAAGAACCTGTGTTCATGAATGACAAACATTTCCATATTTTGAGATCATTTTATGAATGCATACTTTTAATTATCATCATGCATGCAGTTATACACTTACATGTTTTGTTGCCTTTATCACTTGGTTAAGCTTGTGCAGATTTGTAACATTAATGTTGGAATTGTACTCATCTATAACTTGGCTTAGTAAATTCTGAAGCTCAGCATCATCAGAATCCACATTTAAAGGACAGTTAAGGCAAACTCCTGGAAACATAGTAGTTTACATAGTAAGCAGTCAAGAAAGGGTCAGTAATTAAAGCTCCTATCCAAAAGCTTGTGTAAATCTCATGAATGAAAATAAACCTAAATAAATGAAATTGTTACTTTTATTCTAAAGGTCAGAACTGATGCAGCTGTCCAAAACTGATGTCCAGCTGCCATCCTCTCTGCTCCTGCCAGTCACACTACGTTCTGACTGAGTAGGAAAGCATGGAAAGCAACTTGAACTCTGCTGAACTTGACAGCTCTGCAGTGGAACTATTAAGGTAAGCAGTAAAAAAAATCTAAAATGCAGATCAGGAGGAAGACAACTGCAGGTCACATGCAACTAAATTTAATTCCAAATTATCTCAGAAGCATCTCAAACTGATCTGAAAAGCAAGCTGAATTTGCCCATGAACACAGACCCTAAACAAGGAATCATACACTAAGGATGGCTTCAGGCAGGTGTTCTCACCAAGTTTGAAGAACACCAGCTAATATGTATGTCCTGTGCCTCATCTGGACTAAATCATGTTAATACAATAAAGTAAAAGAATCTCTAGATATGGTGCATAAGGGCAGGTGTAGATGGGTGCTTAAGAGTCGCAATGGCATGTAGAGTTCAGTAACCCTATAAGCAGGTCTTAGCCTGATACAGGTGGGCCTTAGATGGCCTGTCAAATGCCTACAGCAGCAGCAATGAGATGCAAAAAAAAGAAAGTGTAGTGGAGTCCCTCTTCACCCACCATGTCCAGCAGTGGTTGCAGGCCCCTTCAATTCCTTTGCCCATGATCCAGTAGGCTCCCACAATCCCTAGGACAATTGGACATGTGCAAGTGATACAAATTACACTGTTTCCCACCCTAAGGTGGGACAGCACATTATCTGTTGACAGGTGGGGTGACCTCCTTTACTGTCACCAGGTGATTGTCCTGGAACACTCCTTCGCCTTTCCCATGTGGAGCCTGTGGTTGACTACCTGGGTTATGAGCTACAGCCAGCCTCCTAATTAGAGAGGTGTTACCCCCCAGGGACCTGTAAGTAAGTGTCAGGCAGCCTGTGTAGGTTATTAGTCTGTGTCGCTAGCTGCAGCTCTAGCCTTTAGCTGTGAGGTAATGAATCTGGCCACAGTGTTTTGCAGCCTGAGTGCTGGCTTGCATCTCTGCTGTGGAGTAATGCATCTGCCTCACACCCCGAGCTGGGATTGGCTTGTGTCTATGGAGGCACTCTATGTAAATATCATCAGTCTGTGGCGCACTGCTTGCGATAGCGATTCTTTGCTGATCAAGTGCACTCTTGTATTCTGATTCCCGCTTGTCTGCTTCCTGCCCTGACCCTCGGCTACTTTTTCTGGATATTCCCTGCCTGACTGACCAATTCCTTTGTTTCCTGGATTCCTCTTCTGCTACTTCTGACCTCACTTTCCACTGGGGGCATCCAAGTACCAGTAGGTGCACTAGCCTTAAGGGAAAGACGGCTGCTATAGGTGAAACGCATGATCACTATATACTCGGACTGGGGTGTTTGCATACGGGACCTTACAGTAACTGTGTTTCCACTAGAATGTACTGTTTACTAAAGATTTCTTCTTACACTCTGTTCTCTTAGATATTATTATTCTGTATTGTGCTGCCACCTGCTACCCCCTCCCACTTTTATGGGAACTATCCCTGGGCAGCCTTGTATTGCAATATTTACACTGTCAGATATACTTGGGGGAATTTGTCAAAACTGGAGCAGATAAAATCTGGAGCAGCTGTGCATAGCGACCACTTAGCTTCTCTCTTCAGTTTGTTCAGTAAAGATTTGAAAATGAAAGAGAAGCTGATTGGTTGCCATGCACAGCTGCTCCAGATTTTGTCTGCTCCAGTTTTGATAAATTCCCCTCACTTTGTTTTCTGCTTGTTGCATACCCCTTTATCATTTTATTGACATTGCCAGTTTGTCTTCCATTCATACAGTAAAGTTGCACATTACCATTTTTCTGATCATTTGACGGATGCTGCTACATAAAAAAAACTGTATTTTATGGGAAAAAAAGGCAAGTGTTCATGATAGACCATACCAACTTAATGTCAAGTCAGTGTTTACATCTACTTTACATGTTAATTAACAGGACCAACAGAAAACACTTCTTTTTTTAAAGACAAATTTAAATCTTTGATGCATATTAGGTAGAATATAATTCTGTAGTGAACTGTGAAGAAAAATCAGATTTGATAGAAAAACAGTACAGTGGTGTTTTGCTAATGAGTGCTCTGTCATCTCCTAATTTAAATGCTGCTGTTACTATTAAATTATATGTGTCATTACATATGTCACTGATTACTTTACTTCCCTTCATTCCTACTGCGCAAGAACAGGCAACTATATGCACATTTATGCTTACTCTGAACATCTTTATAAAATGAAAACATTTAAAGGAAATGTCTATGAAAGAGGGAAATTGAAAAGTCTTCTTTTTTCCATATCAACCCTTTTAACCTGTTTAAAAGATCTGCAAACTCCAGCCCATGGTGTGCTCTCTCTATGCTCTCTAGGCCTCAGCCAAAAGGGAGGTTTTGGGAGCTTTTAATTGTGTTTCAGCGCTGAGTCGCGCCGTCGCATGAAAGGTCCCCATAGCAATGTATGGGATCGTTCATGTCGGCGGATCCGCACGGCCAAATCCGCGTGGCCAAACCACCCCGGTGTGAACGGGGCCTTATAAAAAGGCACATGCATATCTCCACAACATGTGTGAACCGTGCCGATTATAAACAAGCCAAATTGCCTTTTCTTGTCTTTGCATTTGGACTGTGCTGGGCAAGGCCACTGTTCATATGGTATGATGTCATTGACCCAATATGGTTCTGGTTCTGGCAGGAACTGTCAGTTGGAATGAGAATCTGTTGAGTGCAGGACCCTTGCAAGCAGGTTGTTTTTGATGTTAGATTGTATGTGCATAATTGTCATTGACTATAAATCTACATCACTTTTCAGTGTGATTGATGTTGGATCTACATTGTGGGTCATTATTTGAGGAATTTTTAATAAAGGACTTTTATAAGGTGTCTGTGTGTTCATTTACTTTGTCATTTTTTTTGTGAATGAGTAACCAAGGGTGCTAAAAGGGGAGGGGGACAGGGGGCGGCTGGATATCTGGGGGCTCCCTTATCTTAAAGAGAGCTTCCAGATTCTGATAATTCCTCCTACCCTGCAGACCCCCCCACACTCTTAGAGACCGCATGTGGAGATGAGCCTCTTGTCCCCATCATGCCTCCCCCATGCCGAGGCCACGTGGTCTGCTATGGTCCATTCCCTATTAGCCTTGAAAATAGGCAGAATTGATTTTCAGGATTTGCCTCCCTCACCCCCATAGACTTCAGTGGGGTTCAGATTAAAGTTTGGAATTTGTGGATTTTCTGATGAGTTCAATGAACTCAAATCCAACCCAGACACATTTGACCCATCACTTCCTCCCAACTGCCATTGTTAACTACTTTATTCATTCAATAGGACTTATGTAACAACAATAAATTCTGCTGAAAAAAATAGGCAGCAGTTGATAAAGGCACTGACAGCCAACTTTCCTCAAAGTTCATCGTAGATGGAAATTTAAAAAAATAGTAGCACTTAATGTAGCACATGGCAATGCGTTCTTTTTAAATTATTTTTTCTAAAATGATTAGCATGTGTGGAAAAGTTTCTTTGTTCCTAATATTTATTAAAGTGATATTAAAGTCAAAAGGTTTTTAAGCTTTTTCAAATGCTAAGTAAAACGCTTACAATGGATGCTGCTCCTTGTTGTTTAAAAGTTTTAGTTTCCTGCAGAATCAGCTGGTCCCCTGAGCACTGGCCCTGATATCCTGTTTTAAGTTGCCCCTTTCTCTTGCAGGGTCCTATGGAGTCACCCTTGTGTGTGGATCCATGGTACCATTGCACAGCAAGGCAAGCCACTACCCTGCTCCCAGCTCTCCACTCCTCCTTCTTCCCTTCCCCAGTCTGGTAGATGGATGGTTGTTGGAGACTGCTCTGTCCTTGTGTTCTTGTACTGGACAGGAGAAGCAGAGCTAAGAGAGTTGGAGCCAGCTGATTAGAAACATGATGACTGTAAGTGATTGGGTAAAAATGTACACATATTTTGCTGGGCAATGTATAGTTATTTGATCTGGATTCATTCTTGAAAACGACATTGAGAGTTTAATACTACTTTAAAAACAGAGTGTTTTTGTTTTTAGTGAAACTTAATGCAACAAAGTCAATGAGTTCAACGGGAAGGGAGCAGTAACTTACCTGTTCTGAAAGGACATCATTTGTGTGGGAAAAGTCCAGTGCTTGTGAGAAAAACACTGACAGGGTTATTCACAAAAGGGTGAAGAGTTAGAGAAGGCAGGAGAAGGGAACTACCTAGGACAACATAGCTGATTTGGAAGAATTCTCCAATGCAGCTCACTTTCCAGATTAGCTATGTTGTCCTAGGTAGTTCCCTTCTCCTGACTTCTCCAAACTCTTCACCCTTTTGTGAATAACCCTGTGAGGCTTTGTTATAGGAACCCTATATATCACTTGAATCAGCCATGTATTGATGAAGGGCATATGGACTGGTATTATCATGTTAAATGGCCACTCTAATGGGTCCTTACCTAGCTCATATGCCTGGCATGGTAGGCTGTTATCTCAAGGGGAAGGGGGAACTTTGTTTTTGTAGTAAATATAAAAAGAGAAAAAACAGTGAATGAGTGGCACTTCTATTAATTTTAAGAACAAAGTGAAAACTTGACCTATCTTAAAATCTCTTAAATATAAATGAGTACACTGATGGCACTCTACATTTGCAGTTGCTTTATATTGCATTTTTTTAAATCAGCAACATTTGTTTTGCTTACATTTCTAGGACCTTCTAAACCAGTGCAAATATTTGTTAATATGCTGAAAATGATCAGTAAACATTTTGCAACAAAAAGATAGTATTTTTCTGGATCCTTGTGAATAGGCCATAGAGATAGTTGCACACCTCCATCTGCTGGGAAGACGATGAACTGCAGCATTGGAATTAAAAGAGAACTCTGGGGTAACCTTTCATAGTTCTCTTTAGGGTCACGGTAGGACAAACTGTCTACTGACGTCCTCCTGTGACCAAAAACTCAGCATATAAGAGCGCCACAGCCAGGACAGATAGCGGCAATACTAACGAGATCCACCCCGCTGCCTGATTGACAGTGGGCTTTGCCTATCTAGAGGCAGAGCCAGCTATGCTCGCCTCCTGTCCGTCTTTCCAGTCAGCGCTGGAGGATCGGAGAGGGGAACCCTTGTGGGGAATGGTGACTGACAGTGACCGCTCTCTGTAGGGAGATGATCGGGAAGTGGGCAAGCAAAGGTATGTGTTCGCTCACTTCCCGATCAATAGAGCCGACCTGTGACAGTTTCACTGTCACAGGTCGGCTCTAACTATGAGGATGAGTGTAATTCACTCTCCCCATAGTTCTTTAAAGTAAAAGAAAAAAAGGCGGTATGACTTTTCTGTTCCCTGACATCTAAATGTCCTATTATAGTACCACACTATCCTATTTCAAATACTCTATATAGCAGAAGTTACAGATGGCCAGAGCTATAAACTTGGATTATATTGTGTGATCTCAGTAGTAGGTTACAACTATAAGGCCATTCTTCAGAAACCTGTTTTTTAATTACTTACCAGCTTGTGATGTGCACTTTAAGATGATATCATTTACTTGGCCATCAGGAGTTTCAGATACCTGGAGTTCACACTCACCTGTTTCCTGGAAAGGAAAAAAAAATTCTGTCATTTTTATTTTAAAACGATCATATTTAATTAGCAATCCAAAACATTTTTTAAACGCTTTTGTTTTGCAAAGGATCTCTAGTTTAGTTTCACTAGTGTAGGTCCTGCACAGTTGCTGCATTGCTAGAGCACTTCTTCCTGCAAGGAGTGACGAGGGAGCATGGAGCCGGCTTCCCAGTCAATCAGGAAGCCAGGCAGCGTGTAATGACTCGCTGCCCGCCTTCCTGATACCGGAAGTATGGGGCTACGCATTGGAGCATTTGGGCGAGTACAAGTATTCTCCCAAATACTTGGCACCGATACTAGTATCGGTGCATCCCTAGTATTTATAATTGATGTACACAGAGTTTTTTAAGGGACATTTTGGTACATTTAGTATATGTACCACTTTTTTTCCCATAGATCACACACTTGTTTCCTATAGGTTGTACTTATGGGATATTTATTCTGCCATACTGCTAGTTTGTATTTACTATTATTCATATGCAATCATGTGAAATATTATCTAAAAATATCCGTGCAACCAAAAACATTGTTAGGTCCTAAAGATCACTTTTTGCTTTCTATATTATCAAACACTATAATAGCGGGGTGTCAAAGGTGCAGTAGTTTCCTTTAGGCCTTGTTCACACTGAAAGCGTGTGCGTTCCAGAGCGGTAGCTGCTGGAACGCACCGCGATCGCTAAGAAACTTCTCCCCGCATTGTGGGGCGGGGAGAAGACTTTGCCAGCATTGCGTTCCACTGCAAACGCCAAAAATAGAGCAAGCCATATTTTTGCGTTTGCAGTGGAACGCAATGCTGGCAAAGTCTTCTCCCCGCCCCACAATGCGGGGAGAAGTTTCTTAGCGATCGCGGTGCGTTCCAGCAGCTACCGCTCTGGAACGCACATGCTTTCGGTGTGAACAAGCCCTTAGTTGAACTTTAGCTGTGTTCAGAGCTTAGTTCCTGATATTTACAGGGCTCTTCACAAAAGGGTGAAGTGTTTGGAGAAGGCAGGAGAAGTGAACAATCTAGGACAACATAGCTGAACTGGAAAGTGAGGTGAATTGGATAATTTTTCCATGTCAGCTATGTTGTCCTAGATTGTTCACTTCTCCTGCCTTCTCCAAACTCTTCACCCTTTTGTGAATAACCCTGATAGTGTTTGTCTGATATTTAGGGGGTTATTCACTAAAGGGTGAAGAGTTTGGAGAATGCAGAAGAAGTGAACAATGTAGGACAACATAGTTGATTTGGAAAAATTCTCCATTTCAGCTCACTTTCTAGTTCAGCTATGTTGTCCTAGATTGTTCACTTCTCCTCCCTTCTCCAAACTCTTCACTCTTTTGTGAATGACCCCCTTAGTGTCCTAGTCTAAAAACATATTAGCACATTCCCATTATCTAGAGCACACTCCCTGGCTTATAATTCCACCTTGCTAGTGGGCTTTTGAACTGGACACTGGGTGTATGGTGCCATGTCCCTAAATAAATGTTAATATAGAGCTCATTCCCTGAGGTTTAGTGAGCAGTTACATTTCCATGGGACATCTATTTTACACATATCTCAACATAGCAAGCATAGGCAGAAAATAATATGTTTGCAACTAGTCATGGAAGAAGCTGGTACTTAAAGTGGACCTTCAACTGAAAATGACACTCACCATCATCCTCTTCTTTCCCCAGCCTCTTACACAATTCACAATTGCAATTTTTTTTGGGGGGGGGGACAAGTACCATTTTTTGTGGTATTCACTCCCAATTCCTCCAAAAATGATGTCCCCTTGGTACGCCCCCTGCCCACAGCCTTCTGGGATAGAGTCGCCCTGTAGTTTGGATCCCATATATGTACAGTAGGGGAGTGGCTGTGAGTAATCAGGAAGTCAAAACCTGTTCCCAAATCCAAGATGGTGGCACAGAAGTTCAGAAGCCCTGGGCTGGTAAGTATGTGTTTTTTTTAAAAGTCAGCAGCTACAGTACTTGCAGCTGCTAACTTTTAATTTTCCCCTAGCTGGGTGAAGTCCCTTTTTATTTGTACCATTCTATATCGTGCAAATTACTATCATTTGGAATCTACATGGCAGCAGATCAATATAGTTGTGTGAAGTTCTCAAATACCTGTTACGAGTTTAACATGGAGATTTCTAAGCTTTATGCCAGATTACTAAACACAGCATATATTTTATGTATATTTAGTGTATATTATGATTATTAAAAAAAACTTACCCCTTCTTTGTCAAGTTTGCATTCATTTGAATCTTTGGTTTTAAAATCCATTTTAGAGCAGTTTGTCTTTCTAACCACACAGTTTATGATGTAGTCCCATCCACCCACCACCTGAAACATAAGAGGACAACTGTGATATAATTATATGGTTAACTATATTCACAGCTTTTACAACCAAAGTAGTTTTAGTCTAGAGGAAGGCAAAATAAATCTTCTTGGGCAACTGTGATCAATTTTGCATAGGGAAAATGTTTCCTGGCACCGCAAAGGCAGTAACGGCAATTATATTTTGTTTGAAGTGTATGTCCAGCAAAACTTTTGGATAGAGTGGAAAAGGATTTTAGTCTTTTCATAAACACAGATTACTGGAAAGGTGCTCAGAAAAAAAAAATTTAATTCAGCCATCTTGTCTAATGCAACAAAACATCTACAAAGTACGATTAAAAAAAAAAAGATATATTTTCATTATAACAAACATATAGAGGGGTTTTCTAAATTTTGATTGCAAAAGTGGAAATACATTTTAAGGTTTAAATGGGGAGATGTAAAGGTTGATTACAGAAATAGGTGAGTACAGGGAGGACTTCAGAAGTGTGGTGATGCTCTTCATTCCAAATAATAGTAGCACACATGTGTCTATTGATTGCACTGGAGGTATCCAACATCAGCTCTCCCATTCACTCTCAATAGCATACTGTAAACATGCACACTCAGCCAAGCCATGTAATCATGTTAATCAGTAGACAGATAAGCCTAAAAAAGACTGGACTTTGACTGCATGTTTGTTTGCCTTTTAAAGTCTATGGATGACCTTAAATAAATGTAGAAGTCTCCTAAATTTTAGATAACCATATTTTAAAATTTAAATCCCACCAAGTATCATTACTTTCAGTAAATAATCCTGGTGTAATTTAACCACATCGATATCCAATCATTTGTACTTTAACTTCTATAATGATAACATGATTGACCAACAGAGGGTGCCAAAAGTCTGCTTCAACAAATGTTCTCTTCTGAAGTGTCCTTTGCTCTAAAAAACTCTCAAGAGTATTGCACTTTATCTTTCAAGTCAGGATTTGGCAGACTAAAATCCAGTCAGGAGCCCTGCAATCAGGGACAAACTATTAGGGGTTTTTAGATTACATTAAACATTTGTGGTGGTATTATGCCTTTAAAAATCCTGTGCCTAATTCATGAAAGTCTTACAACAGTTCTGTTAGTTCTGACACGTGCAACAGATTCATATCGTTTTTATTTATGTCACTTTCACAATGAGTCGCTATGGCTTTGACAAATTCAAAAAGAATCACCACCAATTCATATATAACGAAACTGGAGGTAATTAACACAGACTCTAAGTTGGCGAGCAGAGACAGGCATGCAAACACGCTTTGTAGTAAAGAGCAGGGCATGTTTGTTCTGTGACAAATAAATGCAACAGATTTAGTTGGTTGCTACAACCAATAAAACGACCAGAGGGGCCATAAAATGCTGGCTGATGTCATAACCCAAATATGGCAAAGGCCATATTTGATCAATAATGTCAGCCAGATTCCCCAGCCCTTTGTTTACAGTCAATGGCCATATTTGGTTAATTATGTCAACCAGAATACTCATCCATTTGTTTATATATTTAGCTGTTGGCTGGGGAATCACCCAGCCAGCAGTTGAATGGGGCCAGTGAGGTGGCATTGGTTGTTGGAACACTGTCAGCAGTATAGCTGACTGCGACCTAGCAACGAGATATGCAGGGCTGGATTGACAGTGGGTGAGCTTCATGAGGAAGCAGGAAGATTAGTTCCCCATCAGTACCGCCTCCCTTGTGATTGATAGCGTGGATGGCAGTGGGAAGATTCCATAGCTACTAGACAGCATGTTAGCAGCTATAAAATCCTCATTACTGTCCGCTGTCAATAATAAGACAGGTGAACCTAATGAGGAACTCTGAGAAACTAGTTCCCCGTCAGGTCCATCTCCCTTGTGATTGACAACAGATAGCAGTGGGCAGATTCCATAGCTGTTTGACAGTATGCTAGTGGCAAATATATACAGCCACTGCCATCCGCTGTAAATCACAAGGAAGGAAGACCTGATGGAGAATTAGTCTATTAGAAAAGCTCTGCCCGCCCAACAGCAAAACATATTTGCATTATATGTCTATGTACTTAGAAAACACCCTTGCTCCAGCTTTGTCTGTTGTGGACAAGAGCTGTTGACCAGAAAATCCAGTCTAAAGGTGCCCACACACCTTGAGATAATCGTACAATAACCGCGGGAAATCCCGCGATCGTACGATTATCGCAAGGTGTGTGGAAGGCGTGCGACCATTTCTACTGTACGGTCGCACGACTTTTGTCTTTCGAGGATGTTTGAAAACCAGCCGAGAATCGTACGATTTTCGGCTGGTTTGTAGCATGATCGTGAGATAACTGGCGCACGGGCCAGTGTGCGCAAGCGCACACTGCCTGTTTAGCAGTGCGGTCATCGGAAGCCCGCCCCTCAGCAGGGCGGGCTTGCGATTAACGCAAGTACGATCTGCCTGTCCGAGATGGGCAGATCGTACATTTTTTTAATTACCTTACAACCATCGCAAGGCAAAAGTCTTGCGATGGTTGTAAGGTGTGTGGCCAGCTTAACTCAGTCAATTGACTTTTCCTGAGATTTGCTAGCCAAGTTGTCTTTAGGAATCTGACAGTACCCCATAGGCTGGATGCATTTCTAAAATTGGTAAGACTGGCAGGATTATTTGACAGTCATCCTCTGTCTAAAATAAGTTCCTCAATTAGTGCTTGTAATATTGGAATTCATAACAGTAAGTCATTATGTACAATATTAATACTAAATTGATTATCTTTGACCTTTAAGGCAACTTTAGTTCTGTGTGGACCTAGTGAGTGACACTGCATTTGCCTCTAAAATGATTACGTTTGTATTGTACAGACCTGGCGGGTGGCATTTACTATTTGGTCCAAATCAAAGTAGTACAGATGACTCCCCTGTCTGTTCATTTTTTCAATAGCGATGTGTACGAATCGCAGAACCTCTTCATTGTTTGTGTCTATTGGATAAGGACAACCAAGGCACTGGTGATGAACAGCAGTCACATATGGTTCCAGTGGCACTGAAGAAAATAAATTACAAATTACTTTAATTACAATCAATCCTGTCACAATTTTAGGACCCATTCACACCTGTATGCTGTGTTAATGTACGTTATGTGCTTTGGTGCACTCACTTGTGTTGCTGGGCTCACCAAACTTAGTGAAATACAATTGTTAGTCTCTGTGGTGGGTTGTCAGCCCACTGAAATGAATGGTCTGCCTTAATGCAAGGCATGTTAACTAGTTACATAACATGTGTTAAAGCATGTGTGTTAAACACGCATTAACATTAATAAATATTAATATACAAGAATTCATATTTACCTGCTTAATTTCAGCCTTCATTTTTGCTGTGCACACACTTTTACTGTCATGTTCCTAGGTGCTGCCCTCCTTCCCAGCATTTGTTTACTGTTTATCATTTCAACACAGGTTAAAGAGATCAACTTAAAGTCCATTTCCACCTTTGCAAGTGATTAGCATATATTGTGGTAATGAAGAGGTGCAGTGATGATGTATACGTGTACACATTTGTTATATCTCACAGTGCAGGCTTTGTTCATTTTTTATGAACGTTTTATTAGGCCTTAACTCCTTCATGACTGAGCTTGTTTTTGGTTTCTGTTCGTAAATGACTGACACACTTTTGACATTTTTGCTGTGTGATTCTTCCACGTCAGTAATATACTTTCTTACAAAGTGCACCCACACATATTATATATTGTTTTTTAGAGGACAGATAGGGCTATATATTTATATCATATATGTGTGTCTAACGCCTCACTTAGGACAAATAAAATATAAAAAAAGAGGAAAAAACGTTTAAAAAAAACACTTTTTTCCCAGTTTGATTTGTACTATTTTTTTAACAAAACCAGCACAGCTAAAAAAAAAATGCAATACATACATTCATTTATTTGTCCCTTATTATTATTTTTTTTACACTTTTTTTTTTTTTTTTCACTTTTCACTATTTTTTTTTACACTTTTTTCACTTTTTTTAAACTTAAAAATGTTATTTTATTTATTTAATTATATCAAGCAGTCATTGTGAATTAATCTCACTATTACTGCTTGATAAATTAATACATGTTTGGTTATTATCAGGCTGCTTCAAACTTCAGAACAGCTGATAATAAGTTAGTGGCACTGATCCTGCAGCAGTTCAGGATTCAGCTGTCACTGAATGTTTCAGAAAACTGAAACATTCTACTTTCAAGAATAGATACATTATGTGTCTATTCCTGAAAGTCAAAGATAAAAAAAAAAAGCCAGTATAGCTTGAGAGAGATATCTCTCTCGTTCTATACGAGCTGTCAGAATGCCGGCAAAAGCCGGCATGTGTGTCCGCTCTGCTGTGAATCTCAGACACCCAATATTGAGGTATCGGGTGTCATATACATCAGCTGCATATACCTGCTTCATGTACATGCTATATATGGGTTTTTTTTTTAATACCTCTGCAAAGGTGGAAATAGGCTTTATGCTGGCCAGACATGGGTCAAATCTAGTCAGTTTTGTGCTGAATCATGCAAAGTCCGACCTGTGGGTGGCCCTGTTGGCGCCATCTGGCTCAACACAAGTTGATTTCTCCATAGACTTGTTGAAGAAGTCATGTGGAAAATTGTTGGCCAAACAGTTACTGCAGCCAATCGGCTGAAGAGGCCCTGATAGCTGCACAATAAGTGCCAAAGGGCTGCAGGTTGAGCATCAGGGCTCTACAGTTATAATTAATAGCCAGCAACTATGGTATGTAGGCAACCTAGGCTGGGAGATTAAAATTAATTGTCTAATCATTAATGGGTTAATGTGGGCTGAATGGTTTATGGCATCTGAGTGACACATATAATACACTAGTATATTACTGCCCAATCAAACAATATTTTAGCTGTACAATTATTACCTGGTCAAATACAGTAAGTATAAGCTGATCAAGGACGTAGGGAAGTAGGAGAGAAGATGATAATGAATCAGCCAAAGATAAAGGATATAGTAGGATCCCATTGTGTGAAGGACAAGGAGGCTCAGCTAAATGTGATCATAGCCCATTAGGAGAATAGGTAGAGTGGGGCTAAGCATGGCAGGAGGGCAGTAAGGAAAGTGAAGGAAGGGCAATAACTGATTGTTGGTGAGAAGTGGAGGACGGAGAGCAGCATCTGATTGTGCTTCATTAAGAGGGGTTGTAGAGGAAGAAGTGGTCATGGACTACAGCATCAAAGAGAGGTGGCAGAAAGGTAACCTGCGATATCGGCCGAAGCTACGGCTAGATCCTTCGGCAGCTTAGTGAATAGACCCCTAGTGGACTGGGGGGAAGAGGTCATGTATGAACCATTATTTCTCCCTGCTGATGACACATCTCCAACAAGGTGTGTGACGTATCCAAAGGTGTAGGACTTACTATGAACAGGCAGGTTTTAGCACATATAGGACTGCGTATTTATGTACCAAGTATCGCTTCAGATATTTAATATTTAGTGTACAATGATAGCATACCACAGAAAGAATACCATTAAGGAGAATGGGGAAAGTAGAATGGCAAACAGTAGAAAGCACAACAGTAGTGACCAGGCAGAAGCCAGAGCTTTTTGTGCAGCTGATGGTTTCTGGATATTAGTATAGTGTGGACAGTGTGGTGTGGCCTACAAGAGACACTACTACAGGTAGTGAAGGGAATACTGCCACACACATAATGTCAGGGATCTCAAGTCTCCCTGATGTTCAGGGAGTCTCCCTCTTTTGGACAGCAGCTCCCTGATGTCCGCGAGAGAGGCATTTTCTCCCTGAAAGGTTTACTCTGAGTAAACCTTTCCG